CCCTCGATACCGTAAGGATCCCCGAAGGCGCAGTAGCCATCTTGACAACAGATCTCGTGGGAGAAAAGCTTACGGCACACCAGTTGAGGCTGTCGTGCGGAGGGAAGTCTCCACCCACGGTTTTCGCTGTTCATCATTGCTTCATAAGCGACGGCGCGTCGCGGGCGGGAGGTAACGTAACGGATCCGTGAAAAGCCGCGGACGTTGTGGCCACGCCGGGTCCCAGGGTCTATGCAACGACCTGCGACGACCCGGAGGAACTGGCGAGTCACTCAAGGATACGGGGTCAAAGGTCATGGCGGTCAAGCCTGTGAGCAGCGCAAACCTTTGGCTTAAGATGAGACGCTCCGCCGGATAGCCATCTGGCAACAAGAAATTGCTATGGGGTAATATTTTAAGCATTTTCACATGTCGATGACAGAAGTGGTATAAGTAAAGGCCAAATTGGTCTGACGTGCTCAAGTGAAGAGCATTGCCACATTACCATTTTCCTTGGGTTTGCTAACCTTAGCCATTCATGGTCCTCTGGTGTGAAGAACAGAACTCTCTCTCTCTCTCTCTCTCTCTCTCTCTCTCTCTCTCTCTCTCTCTCTCTCTCTCTCTCTCTCTCTCTCTCTCTCTCTCTCGCTCTCGCTCTCTCTCTCTCTCTCTTCTCTCTCTCTCTCTCTCTATCTCTCTCTCTCTCTCTCTCTCTCTCTCTCTCTCTCGCTCTCGCTCTCTCTCTCTCTCTCTCTCTCTCTCTCTCTCTCTCTCTCTCTCTCTCTCTCGCTCTCGCTCTCTCTCTCTCTCTCGCTCTCGCTCTCGCTCTCGCTCTCGCTCTCTCTCTCGCTCTCTCTCTCTCGCTCTCTCTCTCGCTCTCGCTCTCTCTCTCGCTCTCTCTCTCGCTCGCTCTATCTATCTATCTATCTCTTTCACACACACACACACTCACACTCTCACTCTCTCACTCTTACTCTCTATCTATTCATCTCTCTAGCTATGCATCTCTTCCTGTCTGTCTACCCGTGCATGCTTGCACAATTACGACTCGCGTGGCACCGTCGCGGCCCGTAGCTCACCTCCGTTAGGAATGCGAGCGAACAGCATAAGGCCGGCAATGCTGATGTCGGTCAGAATCAGCGTGATTTGCATATTGATTACGAGAAGGACCTCATGTCAATGCATCTTAAGGGCCGCTTTTCCCGACGACTCTGGGGTCACGGTCAGATGTCACCGAAGGCCGAAGGTTGGCTTCGGGCAGGTAAGTAGAGTAGCGCTTTCGTGCGCTGCCTGGCTGGCTGCTCGTTTTCTTCGACTGATATTTGAGGAAAGGTGAACGTTATCTGGAAAGTCTTGGAGTCTAATGGACAAGCTTACACGTATAAAATTTACATCCTGTATATATATAAAACATGTTCATCAAGCCGATTATCACCTGATTTCACAATGGTTTCTAAGTATTAACCAAGTTTAAGGATGATAACAGGAAGTCTAGGATGTAAATGAATATGAATATATTCAAGATGTTTCCGCATCCCGACGTGGCACTGTGATTAGCTGTAAAGGGTTATGTAATTGTAGAGTTATCTAATTGCCTTATGTTGGACACAATAGTCCCATTTGCCTTTTTTTACAAAACGCAGCAGGATAAGGAATAATGGGATACAGTCGATATTTTATTTCATGAAGAATATATGCTAGATTGTCCAATTGAAGTTTATTTAGTCATCTTTGGTTTATTTAGTTAAAGTATTTGGTGAAGATGGCAGCAACACCAAACACGCAGGGGAGGAGACACGAATACAGTAACCCAGCGGCAAGAGCGCCTTGGCAGAGGGCGAGCGAGGCGGCGACCCGGCCTGGCACCAGGAAGCGAGGCCGACCGAGGCGAGAGGTCAGTCTGCCTCGCGCCGCTGACCCGCTGCGCTGACGTGGCGAGGCGGTGCTGCCGCTCCACTCGCGTCCGCGGGGCCGTTCGCGCCGTCGCCGCCCGCGTGGACCGAAAAGGATTTGTACTTTCATAGTGGGTTAACGGCGTTAGTGTTCCGGTGAAACAGGTTGATTTGGTTAGACTGCGGAACTGAGGATTCTGACAGATAGATATGCCATTCACTGTAAATTGATGTGTATGGGTATTTTGGGGAATCACTTAATTACAACGGAAAAGAAGGTAAAATTTATCACACGTAATAACCGTAGAACCACAGAATCCATCCTTACCTTCATTTAGTCAACAGCAAAGACTAAATGAAACCCGGAAAATATTTGATTGGCATTTCTATTGATTAAAGGGATGTCTATATAAAATAATAATGAAACAGCGAGATCCCGACAAGGATAAAATTACAACTGCCTGATCCTGCGCTGTGTTCACCCTAACACTATATTACATATACACAGAGTGCGCTGGTCATCCGCACTAAGCCTTCGCGCTGAACCTGATTTCCTTGGTTCTCGTCGGATTAACGAACACATCATTTGGTTTTCGGCGACCCGAAGTTTTCCACTCGAACCCAAGAAA